CTACCATTTTACGAAAATTGCATCCGCGGGATTCGACACCCATGTGTAATTATTTTCTTGTGGCCATTTTACGGAAATTTCATCCGCGAGACTCGGCACCCATGTATAGATATTTTCGAATTGCCATTTTATGAAAACTTCATCTACGGGATTCGGCACCCATGTATAATTATTTTCGAATTGTCATTTTACGAAAATTTCATCAGTGGGATTCGGCACCCATGTATTCAAATACTCATCATATACAATGACCAATCAATACAGATATTCGTTGTATTATTCCAACCGTTATTTTCTTGTGGCCATTTTACGGAAATTTCATCCGCGAGACTCGGCACCCATGTATAGATATTTTCGAATTGCCATTTTATGAAAATTTCATCCGCGGGATTCGGCACCCATGTATAATTATTTCGAATTGCCATTTTACGGAAATTTCATCAGTGGGATTCGGCACCCATGTATTCAAATACTCATCATATACAATGACCAATCAATATAGATATTCGTTGTATTATTCCAACCGTTATACTCAATGACATACTCAAATTGATTAGTTTTAATTCACCAAATCATCATGCAGTGTCTACAACAATCAAGACTATCCTTCACCGATAACCCAAAGCAGTTATTTCTAAACAGATAATAAATGCACCAACAGATAAATTATCAATAATTCTCAAAGGTGAGTGATTATTAAGTCCAACTCCACCATTCTACTACATAATGAGCCAATTTCACCTTTTCACAATGAAAGTCATTAATTACACCAATGACCCATTAAAACCCAAATATGGCATTTTTCCCGTTTTTCGAATACTGACCCAAAGGTCCAAATATTATCATTAAACAACTACAATCTCATTTTAGGACCCAAATACACATGTATTGGACCAAAAGCACAAAACCCCTCTTTCCAATATAACACATCTCAAACTCTGACTTCCCAAATCAAACCATTTATACAAAAAGCTCAACATTTAGGTTAAAGCTCATAAAAATGAGTAGTTATCCCTACCTCAAATTCGGAGCTCAAAGGAGGAAGATGACGAAATTCGAAATGCTCCAAACCCCAATATTTTCGGATTGATAGGTAGCCTAAGCCAAGCTTTACACTTCTTACAAAGACACTAAGGGGATGGATCACGCAAACTAGATCAAACCCTAGAGAGAAGTTATGTTTTTAGAGAGAGGAGCTCTCCAATGGAGGTTTTGAAAAGTAAGAGAGAGAGAGAGAGAGAGTGTATAAAAAGTGATTTAAAATATCACAGTCCAGATCTGATATACGCATGACCCGCTCGAGCGGAGAATATGACGATCGAGCGTCAAACACAAAAACTTGACCCGCTCGAGCGCAGAAGGACCCGCTCGAGCGCCAAGGCACAAAACAAAACACCACTCGCTCGAGCGCAAAAAGGAAACCTGCTCGAGCGTAGATTACATCCTTCCAGAACTTTTACAAACATTGAACACCCGCTTGAGCGTAAAGACACCCGCTCGAGTGCGACCTGCTCGAGTGTAAGGAAATCCGCCTGAGCGTGAAAAACACATCTGCAGTAGCTTTGCAGATGCACAAGGTACTAAAAGTGTGCAAACTCTACTCGAGCGCAAAGGGACCCGCTCGAGCGGATCACCAAAAACTTGGGCAACAACACTTGAGACCAAAACTCAACCCACCTGTCCGAAACATGCCCAAAACAATTCTAAACTCAGTTACTAAGAGTTAAAGGATGGAAATACAACACAGACAACAACCATCAACCACAGAACCGGGTCGGGAATACAATAAACATGAGAGGAAAAACCGGGATCGCTATAATATCTCATGTATTATTTGGTTATGACTTCTTTTTATTTTATTTTATTTTATTTTATAGTTATGACTATAAAGTATGAAGTTATGTCATTTTTTTTTAGTTATAAGGTGCATACGATACATACCCTTTAAATCTTTCTCCTATGTACATATGTACATATTAATATGTGTATATATATAATTTACTAAATTTTACTTTTTTTAAATAAAAAGATATACTTAAAATGAAAAATGTATTTATTTAAGTTAATATTTAAGATGTAATGACTAAATATTAAGGTGTAATTTTAATTAGCTCGATTTTGATTTTAAATTTTTGACTTTGTCTCAATTTGGTCAAATGGATTACAACTCTTAATATTTTTTAATAAAAAATATGTACATAAGTGTCATGTGTCTCAAAATTATGAGACACAGTAAGTTAACCTCAACTAATTTAGTGATAATTTTTCTTAAAAAACACTAATGATATTATCAATTTGATCAAATTGACGTAAAATCTAAAATTAAGAATCAAAATCAAATCAATTAAGAATGTAAAAACCAAAATAAGACAAAAGATAAAATATAAGGACATCGGCCTAATTTACCCACAAAATTATCATTTTTCAGTTTTATAATATTTATAATTGTTTATATGAGTATGTTGGCCAAGTTCGAGATTGTACTAGCAAGATTTTAAGGCTAACTTGGGAGGGATTTTCGGTTTGTTTGATTTGTATCTCAAGATATAATTTTAAAATTTTTTTTTAAAAAAATTTATTTGGTTTAAATTTTTTGAATTTTTTTTTTCAAAATCACTTTCTTTTTCGTATACATCAATCAGTCACTTTTTCTTTCTTCTCTGTGATTTTCAATCATTTTTTTCTCTCACACACATCTACTCAAACTTCAATAAAATATCAAATCATCCTAAACTCCAAAACTATTTTCAAAATATACAACAAAACAAACCAAAAAAATTTCTAAACTTTCTCTCAAAAAAAAAAAAAAAATTTAAAAATTTATCTCAAAACAAAAACCAAACACACCCTTTTAGTTTCAAAAGCTGAAAAAATTATTTGGTGTTGTTGGACGTCACGTGGCGTACTACTCACCAATAATAATATATCGTGTTTCTATTATTTTTTAATCACTTAATATAAAATTATAAGTCTCATTTTTTTTTATTAATTAAAACACTTTTGTGATATCACGTGACAATACCTCAAAATCAACCAATAATTTCTCTCCAAGTCGGGCCGGGTCAGATTTTTAAAAAAAAATTCCAAACTTAGGCGTAGCCAAACACACAGACTATAGATAGGCTTTCAGGCCATTATTCACATCAACTGTGGCAGCTGGCCTCTTTGCTATAAAAATTACTTTTCTGTTGAGGCATGGAGCTAGCTACTATCAAAGCTTTGTTGTTGCTTTCTTTCTTTATTTTTTGTTCCTGGTTGAATTAGTGGAAAGAAGAAGAAAACTTAGCGACTATGGCAGAAACTATAGCTCGGCCTTTTGTAGCCTTTGTGGTAAAAAGGTTGGGAGATGTACTCATTCAAAAACAGAATTGCCCCCTTGGTTTGGTTCGGTCGGTGAGTTATTATTGTCTTGTGACCGAATTGATATTACAGACTCCACAAAAAATGCAGTCATCCAGACACCCCCATCTCCACCTTCTGATTGGGCCCCATCAGCCATCCCCTCTTTTTTGGATTATATTACATAGATATATAATACATTTCCTAAGAAATTCATTACATACACGAATCCGGATCCTCGGCCGCCCTACCCGGCAGCTCCCCAAAACGTCGTTTTGGGGGTTTTTTGTTTTTGTTTTTTTTTCCTTTTCTTCTTCTTCGTTCTTGCTTTCTCTCTCTTCGAAACCAGAGGGGAGGGGAGAGGGAGAAGAGGGAGGAAGGAGGAGGGCGGGGGCTGCGAGCTCGCCATTTATTATTTTTACATGTGTGGACCCTAAATGAGTGGTTTACTTACGTGGTCATCCCAAGCGCGGTCCTTGTTGAAGACGATTGCAGCACCAAGACTCCTTGCTGGGTTGATACCCGTGCCGGTTATAGGGATAGTGGCTAAGTAATTATTTAGTCAATTCTAATTTGTAATTAATTAATTAGTGTAATTAATTAGTTAGTTCCATAAAATAGTTAAAGTTAATTAATTGGTTTTGTAATAATTAGCTTAGCTAGTTAGTTTATTCGGTTTGTAATAATTAAGTTAATTCGTAGTAATTAACTTAGCTAGTTAGTTTATTCGGACCCTGTAACGCCCTCAAAATAATGTAATTAATTAATTAGTGTAATTAATTAGTTAGTTCCATAAAATAGTTAAAGTTAATTAATTGGTTTTGTAATAATTAGCTTAGCTAGTTAGTTTATTCGGTTTGTAATAATTAAGTTAATTCGTAGTAATTAACTTAGCTAGTTAGTTTATTCGGACCCTCCTGCACGAGGGTACAATTGTAATGATGTATATGTCTTCCAACCCCACGTCTTTCTCCCTTTTATTTACTTGGTTATGATGGTTAGTTTATAGCATCATGTTTCATTTGGTATCTCTCACGCTTCGCATCTATTGTCTGGCATGTTTCGCTTAGCATCTCTCATGTTCTATTGGGCCTATAGTATTTGAGCCTTTTTTTTTCATATCTAAAACACAAAATTATATTTGGGGACCCCTATTTTTGGCCCAAATTTAGGGATCCAAGGCGCAGGCCTCTCTTGCCTGCCCTCAGGACCGGCCCTGCTTGGGTTGTTTGATATGTTTGTCTAAGCCCTCTCAAATTTAGTTTAGACTTCTAATTTTTTGTCTAAATTCATACCGAAGTCAAAAATATTTTGTCTAAATCCTACAAAAATTAGGATTAGAGTCAACTTACTCAAATTGAGCTCGGTCAAGTTGTATCCCTTGAATTTAGGCCTCGTTTGAGAACAGGCTAATTTAGTAACTTTTTGACTATTTGGTTAAAATATGAGCTAAAAAAAACTAGTATGTTTGGGATGACTTTTTGGCTTTTTACGAAAAGATGTGCAAAAAGTAGAGAGAAAAGAGAATCTTTGACTTTTTGGTATAAGTTGTTGGCTTTTTGACATTTTTAGTAACTTTTTGACTTTTTGACTAAACCGGCTGCTCCCAAACGAGGCCTTAGTGTTCCTAGAGCAAGTTTGATTTTTATTTTATTTTATTTTATTTATTTATTATTATTATTATTTTGGAATAGAACAAAACTAGAAAAGCACTAAATAATTGAAGCCCAATCACATCCTTCGTTCTTTCATAAAGGACAACGTGGCCGACCACATTGCACTAAGCTAAAATAGAGAACTGATGCAACAAATTCGAGAGAAGAAAAAGAAGAAAAAAAAACAAATAATAAAGGAAGACGCCATTGCCATTGCAGTTGGCACCACACACAACCTGCGAGAGAGAGAGAGAGAGAGAGAGAGAGAGAGAGAGAGAGAGATGAAGGAGGTAAAAGAAGCGTTGTTCATGAACAGAAGAGAAGGAGAAAGTAGTTATGCACAAAACTCTTCTTTCATAGTAAGATAATGTTTGTATATTTGTATAGTAGCATTACTCTTCATGTTCATGGTATGTCCAATTCTCACTTCTGTGAAATTTTCTGCTAACTCAACAATTGTTATACCTTGCAATTTGTATCGAAGTTATAGATTTTGTTAAGCAAATAACAGTTTTGAAGTTTTATTGGATTGTTAGGTCCTTTTTTTTTTCCACTCACTAAAATAATTGTGGATCAAACTTTATTCCTTTAGGCCATGTTTGTTTGGGTGGGTATGTACTTGGGATTGGACTATTAGTCCAATAAAATTATTAATCTGATATTTGGTTAAAAAATTGGAGTATGGACTAATAATCCATTCGGATATAGTATCCCACAAATGATGGACTATTCAATCCCACAGAGGGAGTAGAATATAAATTGGAGAATTAAGCCAAAGTCTGGATTAACTCATCAAATGACCAAATTAACCATGACTATATACATATATATATATATATATATATATAAAACCCTCATTTAAATATTTTAAAAATATTTGAAATATTTTAAAAAAATTCCATAATTTGTAGACGTCCCCGAACGTCTTGGGAGGGAAATCTCATTCTGTTCATTTGGGCTCACTACAGTTCGGACTCAAATTATCACGGTTCTGAATCTAGTCTCGCAAAGTGCAATACAAGACTGATAAATCACCAAAGAGTCCAAATCCGGCAAATCGTTTTTGAAAAATTGATTTTTTAGAAAGAAGTGCCAAATATGAACTGCTTTGCCAGATACAGAGTCACCGCCTAAATATTTTTTTTTATGGGGAAATTTAGGAAACCCTGACTCGTTTGCCTAAGGCCACGTGTCCATCATCACCAAAGTTGCCTCGGCTCGGGAACTTGGGTACGATTGGGGAAGGTCAGCTATGAGCACCCTCGCTCGCCCGATCAAAGATCGGCCTCTACTAACCATGATATCTAGTTTTGAAAACATTATGCGTTCTTATTCTGATTAATTAGCTATAATTACTATGTGATGCGCGCAGTAAAACAAATATTAACTAGATTGCCTAATTTGGAGCAAAGCATTGCATATCCGTTTGTTCGGAAAAATGGTTTGACTTTTGCTACTCGCAAGTAGGCTAAAATACGGATTTCAATGATTTGTCCCAATACAAGCAATCCAACCTTCACCCACAGGCATTCAGACAGTTACATCACATACGCAAATAGCCTCATAGTAAGCATACTGTCATGGCAACACTCACACACATGCAAGGATGCTAAACTGTAAATGCTTACCTAGTACTCCAAGCCAAAACAAAAACCAGTTAGTAATCAAATGCGTGATCCTAGTTCATGTTAAGATAGCTAATGCAACACATGAAAAATGCAACTAGAAATAGGCTTGGCTATTCTAAGATGTCATGTGAAATGCAACAGATAACATGTATTCAAGTTAGATTTGAAATACTATGCGATCAGTATGATGTGCCGAGCCAGGTGCATGCAATATAAATGAATGAATGCACACATGCATAGCATAAGGATGCTAATTGAAATATGCTCAAATACTAACCATCAAAAGCAGGTAAGTAAAAGGGAGAAAGAAGTGGGGGTTGGAAGACATGCACACACGCACTCGCACTTATTACACAGTTATGCTCTCTCTCGGAGATATCAAATAAATAATACAAATTAATCAACTAACAGGCTAATTAGTTAATTACAGACAACTTAACTAGTTAAGCCAATTAACTAAGCTAATAAAGCGGTAAAACAGCCTCGGGAAGAGGGTCCAATGCATGCGTGCTCGGCTCCGCTCAGAAATCCACCACTATCCACAAGCTGCCTCTGTTTTCACTGTTTTATGCCTCTAAAATTGCACAAATCCCAAGGAACACTCTATGAACACCATGGGATGCCACTGGCCATGAGGAATGGTCACCGGCCATGGAAAAGTGGTCATCGACCATTGGTATGGCTCTCAGCCAAAGATATTTAGTCGGCCAGCACTGAGAATGGTCGGTCGACCATATCTTCCTGCAGAATCCTGTTTTGACAGCAGCAGAGGGCAAACAAGGCAGGGCAATGCATTTCAAAGCAAATGCTTTCACCACCACACTCATTATCATGTTCATGACTCAAAGGAGGATGGCCCTCGACCCTCGGGCCACCAATCACGCATTTCGATGCATGATGACCCAAGAAATCAAGTTGTGCATTTTGGTGTCAAATAAAATGCAAACCAAAACAAACAATAGGCCCAACCTCTATCACAATCAATTCAAGAGGCAAGGCATGCATGCGAAATGTAACCTAAGCATGCAAGCTAAGTATGCAATATGAGCGTGCAAGCAAGTGATGAGCACTAGTCACACAACCTAAGCAAACAAGCATGCTAGACATGTAACAATAATGCTAATGACCAACATGCAACAACATGTGAAGGGGACTTAGCATAGGAACATGTAAAGCAACTTAACACAAGATGCATGCCAAATGAAACACCATTTGAACATGCAACAACGTGCCAATAGACCAAGTATGTGACAACATGCCTATGGGTCAAGTATGTGACAACATGCAAGGTAAATGTACACACAAGCATTCATGAACACATGGTCCAAAACTTGAGCATGAAGGAGTAACTTCTAAGCCCAAAACAGTGGCTAATATGCTAAGCACATGAAGCAAATGTACATACAAACATGTATGCAAACATGGTCCAATACTTAAGCATAGAAAGAGGACTTTTAAGCACACTTAAAAGGGGACAAACATGGACAAATGGCAAGCATGATAAACTTTGAAAATCATGTTAAGGATGGTGCCAAACAAACTAAACAAAACAATCAAAGCATGCAAGCAAGGTTCAAGGCTCAAAGCTATCAAAGGGGCTTAAACCATGGCCATACAAGGCAAGCCTCAAAGGGACAAAAGGACTCAAAACAATCCTAAAGCAGACCAAAACAAGGTCAAAGACACACCTAGATGGCATCTAAATGGCCTAAGTCTAAAGGCATGCATGATGACCCATACATAGAGCATAAAACACAAACCTTTTGAAACATCAAAGGGGCCATAAATGCAAGTATACAAGCATACTATATAGACTGAAATGACATAACTAATGGTGCCAAACCACTGAAATGATGCAAGTAGGGCATGCTAGAGGATCCAACACTCAAGGCCTACAAAGGGGGATTGCATGGTAGCTACACAAAACAAGTCATGGATGACCCAAATGACCAAAATCAGACCTCAAGCACATCAAAATATGCATAAAAGCATCACAAAGCTAAGCCAAAATCATGCTAGAAAGAAGGCTCAAAGCACAAAGCATGTTAGGGCAATTTCATGGCATTACAAGACAAGTATGCAAAGCATGCATAATGTGTCTAAACCAACTAAAAACAGTGCTATATCATGGCAAAATAAGCACAAATACTACTTAAGACATGGCCCACAAGAACTCAAGAAATGTGCTCACACATGAGGCTAAAATGGCAAGTATTGAAGACAACAAGGAGAGGGGATGGCCCTCTCCTTCTTAGGACCTCAAAACACCATCCCCACCACTGAAATCCAAAGAGGAGGCCAACACAAGGTGGTCCCGGAGCTCACCAAAAGTGCACAAAAATGAGGCCAAACAAGGCCTAAGAGGGGTCAAACAACCCCAAACCTCAAAGAGACCTTAAATAACTATCAAAAGCAAGTAAAAATAGAACTTTTACTAGTTATACACTAAGCTTAAAAATAGATTCAAGGATGGCTAAAAGCCTATGCAAAAATGGGGAATAAAGGGGTAAAGTTCTTACCCTTGAAGACCTCTTTCAAGAACAATGCTCCAGCAGCCTCTGCAAGCTTAGATCAACTCAAGAACTCTGAAAATAACTCCTTAGTACCTCAGTAGCTAAAGGAAAGTGTAGCACTAGGTGTTTGTATGCAAAACTATGAACAAAAACACCTTAAACACACACAAAATGCAAGGAGAAGGAGATATAGAGATAGAATAGATACACAGTCCTCTAACCCTAATCTCAGAGCTCTGGAACTTCTTGGAACCTTTCTAGGAGGGAGGAGAAGCCCTCCCTTTATAGAGATTCACTCTTGCAAAGCTTACAAAACAAGCTAAGCAAGAGGGAAATCCTTTCATACACGTGTATGGAGGGGGTGCATTGTGGATGCTAGCTATCACAACTGGCATAAAATATCTGCCAAAAGCAAATGAACAGTGATCGGCCAGCCAAAAATGACAAATTGACCAAAACAATGGTCGGCCGACCATAAAGAGTGCCGGCCGGCCATTACCAATGGTCGGTAGCAACAAAATAGGGCCGGTGGCCTCAAGCCGTGGCCGGTGAGGTGTGGGGATGGCCAACAAGCCATTTTCCACCCTCAGAAGCAAAACAACAAATGTTTGGTGTAAAACCAAACACAAAACAGGCAAGTCGAGAGGTCTTGAGGCAAGGCGCATGGCCAAGACCTCCGAGAACTCAGGATGAACACAAACATGGATGATCACCGAGTGTTCAAACGGTGATGTCCGAGTCTTGAGGACGGTCAAAAATGGGGTGTCTATAGTTGTTCCTCTTTGACAGAACTCGAAAGTCATAACAATGACGGGAGTGAGTGTCAAAGCCCAGAGACGACCCATTTTTGACAAGGCCGAAGACTTAGATAAAGCATACAAGCTACAAATAAAGGTATGTGCCCGAAGGCGGGGGCAAGATGCAAGACAATGCACAAAGCCGAGCATAACTTATGATCATGCAAAGAGAGCTGTAACGAAGCAAACACATACAATAAATGCAACAGTTTAAGCAATCAAACACAAATCCAACTACATTACAATGCAGAAAGGATGTAAGAGAATTATGCAATTCTCGTTACGTCTCACGCGAAGAACACAATACCTGTCCGGTTCGTCTGGTTGTGCCAGCTTCAAAGGAACCATACATACAATATCGTGCCTGAAAGAGAAAGAAAAGTTAACAGGTACAATATCATTAGCAACATGCATAGCAATGCAATCTAAAACTGCGTGACAACGCAAGCGAAGGAGTGCATGACAATGCAACTCATGTGACAACGCATAACAATGTGGAATGGATGCAAAATGATATGCAATATTTACAAAACTATGTATAAACAATGCAAATGATGTGCAATGCATTTGTGATGATCAAACCATAAGCAGTACAAAACCACACAAATATCATAAAGATGATGGAGATGCAAAATTCGTCTACCATAGAAAAGGTGCTAACACCCTCAAACCACAATCCCATCAGTGGAATAGGTGCGTACACATGCAGAACTATGTGTGTGTAGACGAAACACAAGATACAAGTAATTGGGTGGGATGATATAAGTGAGGCATGCTCTACTCAGGAAAGACCACGATCCTAAATGCTAGACACAACACATTACACTACAATGCAATGAATGAATGAAATGGATAAAGTGCATGGCCAAAACATATCTTGCCTAGGAAAGGCATGAACACATACAAACCATGTTTAACACAAAAACGGTGCCGTCACCCACAACACTAGGTGCGTACACATAATATCATAACTGCGCTTTAATGCGAAAGGTATGAGCACATACCAGACCAAGCTCAACATGGAAAGGCGCAAGCGATGGATGGAGGATGCAGCAAATGCATGCAATACTCTCTATGTACAATACAATGAATGCATGACAATGCAAGCTATGTACAATGCAACCTACATACTAGATGATGCAGTAAGGAAATGCATGACAATGCAAAGTAAGGAAGAATGCATGACAATGCAAAGTAAGGAACAATGCATTACAATGCATGTAAGGAAAGATGCATGATAATGCAAGCTATGTTCAACGCAATATTTACAATGAAAAAAAATGCAATGGATAACGCGCGTGACCGAAACATATCTTGCCTAGGAAAGGCATGAACACATACAAACCATGTTTAACACAAAAACGGTGCCGTCACCCACAACACTAGGTGCGTACACATAATATCATAACTGCGCTTTAATGCGAAAGGTATGAGCACATACCAGACCAAGCTCAACATGGAAAGGCGCAAGCGATGGATGGAGGATGCAGCAAATGCATGCAATACTCTCTATGTACAATACAATGAATGCATGACAATGCAAGCTATGTACAATGCAACCTACATACTAGATGATGCAGTAAGGAAATGCATGACAATGCAAAGTAAGGAAGAATGCATGACAATGCAAAGTAAGGAACAATGCATTACAATGCATGTAAGGAAAGATGCATGATAATGCAAGCTATGTTCAACGCAATATTTACAATGAAAAAAAATGCAATGGATAACGCGCGTGACCGAAACATATCTTGCCTAGGAAAGGCATGAACACATACAAACCATGTTTAACACAAAAACGGTGCCGTCACCCACAACACTAGGTGCGTACACATAATATCATAACTGTGCTTCGATGTGAAAAGTACGGGCACATACCAGACCAAGCTCAACATGGAAAGGCGAAAGCCGTAGATGGATAATGCAGCAAACGTATGCAATCTACAATGCAATATATACAATATGCAATGAGATGGAATGGATAAGGCCTGCGGCCAAACCGTTATTGGGATTCACGACAATGCAAATGAATTCAAAATGCGTGACAACGCACGTCTTTTGAGATGCATGACAATGCAAATGAACTTGAATACGTGACAACGCTCGTCTTTTGAAATGCATGACAATGCAAATGAACTTGAATGTTCGACAACGCGCGTCTTTTGAAATGCATGACATTGCAAATGAGCAGTGCATATCAGTGCAAGTTGTGCGTGTTACAACGCGTGCGGACATGCATAACAATGCAAGGGATGATGTGTGCTACAACGTATGAAAACATGCATAACAATGCAAGAGATGGTGTGTGCTACAACGCATGCAGACATGCATAACAATGCAACATATTTGAAGTAGTTTCCGAACCTTTGTAAGATTACAAAAAGGATACGAAAAGGATACACCTTGTACGTATTCGAGTGCTACGCACAAAAGACACGGCACAGAGACCGGTTAAGTTTTAGAAATGCACTCTCTCGCACTGTGTTGAGCAAAGAAGGTCCCAAACCACATATCTGACCCAAACAAGGGTGTAGGAGATTCACCGGCCATCGGGGGAGGTCACCGGCCATCCACCGGCCGAAAAATAAGGCCATCGGCCAAATATTTGGCCGACCGGCCAAAAATGCCTGTATCGGGGCAGTTTTGTCAATTCGGCACGGGTCTTTAAATATAGGGCTCCTAGCCCTATTTCCTCACTTGCCTGTTGCTCGAAAAACCTTCCCCCATCTCTCTAAGTCATTTTCCAACCTTCTACCCTCGCTTTTCCTCGTTTTTGGGCCCGTTTCGTCATTCGATTCGTGAACTCCTTCGCGTTTTGAACATTTTGAACCAAACAAATCTCAAATTCGGTGTTTCTTTTTGGATTTCCACCACTTGGGGTTTGTTTCCCCCAAGTTTACCTCGATCTCTGTGCCCTTTTCGGACTCCAAGATTTCCGTCCATTTTTCACCCTCTCGGGGTTGACTTTTCACATTCTCACCCGATTTTCACACTTCCGGCCATTTTCATATCATTCTCGGCATGGCAGACGATCTTCCACAGGGTGGGACTCCCCCGGAGCAGGAGATGGACCCCGAGGCTGAGCTCTTGCCTTTGAGCGTCCGACCATTTGACCCGGCGACCTACCGGCCGACGATTCACGTGTTGCCTCCTGACGGACTTCGGCAGTTCAGGAGTTTTGCTAAAGGCATACCACCAGAGCTTCTACTACGCGAGCCAGAGTCACATCTATCTTACGGCGCTTCCGAGGTATATTCTTCACCATTTCATTTTCTACAAAGTAGAACACAACTGCAATAGTCGATCTTGTTCTTTAATTGCTTAGTCTGGATACGCCGATACACCACATGTTGTAGTTTACTGCGAGGATACCCCCACTCGGTATTCGTTTGAATCTGAACACGTGCACACACGCTGCATTGTCACTGAATCACTCAAACACACTGACATATTCATATGCTGTAGTTCACTGTGAGCACACTGGCACCCGATATCTGTTTGAATCTGGACACCTGCACACACGCTGCATTTTCACTGAAATGATCCGAACAAACTGTTGCATCATATGCTGGAGTTCACTGCGAGCACACCCGCACCCGATATCTGTTTGAATCTGAAGACGTGGACACATGCTGTATTTTCACTGATCCGGAGTGCATTCAACACTGTATTTGTAACACTGCTTCGCAACTATTTATTTTGACCACAGGGGAATTCCCATGCCTTCCGAGGGTATGGGAATGTCATGGCCCGAGGGTGGTACATGGAGCTTCCTGAGGCAGTTCACCGTATCGTTGACCAGGCCAGTTTTGGTACTTTCTGCATGGGGCTCTCACGCCTGACTGCGAGTAGGCCTCTCCTTGCTGCTCTGGTGAGGTGGTGGGACACCATCGACTCTTTCCATCTTTCGGCCATGGGAGACATGACGATGACTCCCTTCGACTTCTCCATGCTCACAGGCATTGGAGTAGGGGGTGATCCGATCCCCTTCGATACAGATATGGACGAGTGGGAGGCCGCTCAGATGTACCTGCTCGGCGACCTACCGCCTCTTGCTCGTCCAGGATTTGTACGATACTCATGGTTCGAGGACCACTTCAAGATCCAGGCACCTACCACTCGGGAGGAGGAGGAGCAGTACACACACGGCTTTCTGATGTTCCTGCTAGGGACCACCCTCTTTACCGACCGGGCGAACACCGTGCCCCTTTGCCTATTGAGTGCAATAGTTGACGTGACCAGGATTCGCGGCTACGACTGGGGTGGCACAGGCTTGGCCACACTCTATGGCTATATGAGTTCATCCTCTCGCCTCAGCGGACAGCTGCTCAGAGGCTACTGGCGGGCTTGGGAGATACGTCTTCTTCTTCTATTTTACATTTCTGTTTTACATTCTATGTACTCTGTATACTGTACACGCTGCGGTCTTCGTCACACTGGTCATATACTGCACCCACGGCACACATATAATTTGTTTTACACACTGCATACATTGCACAACACACTTCATATACTGCACAATCTGCTGCCAACTGACTATACACTGCACATATTGCGAACACGCAATCTGCTTTACACTGACTGTATACTGCATGGATTGTACACTCTGCACAATGCACTGCTCAATGCATGGTTCTGCACCTTCTACTTTATTCTGCATTCTGCTTTATCTGATAAGCATACTGATATCTGTTCTGTCATACTGTAGTTGTGGGTATACGCCTACTTCCTGAGGCTTGCCCCAGTACCAGAGGAGGAGATGCCTCCCATGATCCCATTCTCCCACCACTTTGACGTGAGGTGCGAGCGGAGACCACAGGAGTCTTTCATATTCTTCCGCCGCTATTTCGATACCATCACCGCGACAGAGATATGTTAAACATTACAATTCATTTAAGCTTCGCTTTGTATTGCATTTTCAATAGCAGTAGATAACAAGTTATATTTTGTTTGAAGATCACCTGGCAGCCATGGGCCACATTGCCCAGCGCAGTACGGGAGTGGTATGAGGGCACTCAGGATACCTCCCGGTTCAGGATTTTGCTAGAGGGCCCGGTCTGTCGGGCCTGGTACCTAGGCTAGCGCTTCCTGCGCCAGACCTTGGGCATGCCGAAGCAGATAGTCCCAGGTTTGCCTCCTACGACCATGAGGCGGACAGAAGTATACACCCCACAGGAGATGGCCGTTTGTACGATCGGTTGGGACTCGGAGGGCTTTAGAGGCGAGGGCGACTATGCATAGTACGTCCAGACCTATATCCTGCGGCCTCTGGGTAGTGCTCACCGAGCAGAGAGGGAGAGGCCTGCGGCGCCGGCATCTAGAGCAGGAGCACCGAGGATGGCTTGGGCACGTGGTAGGAGTGGATCCCGGAGAGGACAGGGAGCTGGATGGCCAGCATTGCCCACGATGATGACATGCAGAGGGCAGGATGGGGAGACTTATCAGATCCCCATCAGACTTATCTACGACTTGCCCCCGGTATGCACTACTGCATTTTGTATTTTGTACCGTCATTTCATTTCATTCCGTTTGATATTCTGCAGAATACTGATGCACACTTTTGTAGGCTTCCTCTGAGTATACTCGACAGTCCCTGGAGTTGACTGCCTCCATGATGGGGATGTTACAGCGGAGCTTCGACCTGCTAGCCATTTACAGTATCCCGGTAAGTTCTGTCAACCACAGTCTTTTAAACGCAGTCTCAAACTCTGTATAAACTGTTTCGCATAATCAGATGCATCGCACTGCCAACACAACACTTCATACACGGCACTCATGGCATTGGTATGCTGTAATCATACACTGTATTCAGTTCTGATATACTACTCGTAGCATTCAAACACGGCATTCTGCACTGATATACTGTTCACAGTATTTATACACTGTACTCACACACTGTATTTGGTTCTGATATACTGCTCGTAGCATTCAAACACGACATTCTGCGCTGATATACTGTTCACAGTATTCATACATTGTACTCATACACTACATTCTGTACTGATATACTGCTCGTAGCATTCAAACACGACATTCTGCACTGATATACTGTTCACAGTATTCATACACTGCTCACAGTATTCATACTCTGCTTTGCGTAGCACACTGATGCGTTTGCCATTTGTGCTTTTCAGCCTCTATTCCAGATTCCGACTGCAGGAGGTGTTCCAGCTGGACCTTCTGTTCTTGCTCGAGGAGGAGGGCGAGGAGGCACAGTATATCCCTGCACCAAAGCGAGGCGCACTCATGTTAGGAGCAGCTCTCGGGCACCGATCCCTGACGATGATGAGTCTAAGGCAGAGTCGGAGGCGGAGGCAGAATCGTCCGAGGAGGAGACCGGAGACGACTTGGGCTCGGGCTCAGATGGTGGAGCTGGCAATGATGCTCTTGGACCTGCTCCTGGACCTTCGTCCAAGAAGCGGACGAGGACAGACCCTCAGGCCTGAGACCAGTTGACATTGATCCAGACTTTTGTTGCCTTTCTTTTTTTGCTTTTCTTTTCCTTTTAGCTAGTATTTTGAGCACTTTGCACTACCGCGGGCAGGTTTTGTTTTCCTCAAAACTATGTACTTGAAAAGATGATGAAATGAAACAAGCTTTTTGTCTGAAAAAGTGTTGCATTTGTACATTTCATACGTCGCATCGCATTGCATTATATCACATGACAATGTAAATGAGATTGATCTTTTGTCTAAAAATTGGAACACTTGCATTGTGATAACCAAGTAGTGAACCAGCTAACGTCAAAACAACACATACAACTCACTGCTCATTCTGAACACACAACCCAGTCTGAACAAACAATTCAATCTTGAAAAGACGGGGTGCAAAAATGGGGCACGTAAAAGTTGGAACAAACACGGATGCTCCAACAATTTCCCTCTTTTCTTTTGCTTCGCGGTTCGAAACCCACATAGTCTTGGATAGGTCCTGGTTCTACTGTTCTGACATGGCTTGGGTTGAACCCTGCGACTATTGAAAGAACCAATCTTGCTTTGCACATATGTGGAGAATGACACAGCACTCTGAGCACAAACGATCTTTTTGAAATTGAGAAATGAGTTGTCGACCGGGTATTGAGCCTATAGCATACTATGACTCAACAAAAGGTACACGACCTAAACACATCGAGTAACACTTGAAAAAGACTCAAAACAAGAGTTGAGGTAAACAAAACAAAAGACACGACACACAGACGTGTTACAAAGACAAGAGACTTCTCAGTTCGCGAGGAGCCAGTTTCTCCGGGTATTGTTTCCCACCCTTTCTCATTTGTGATTCTCACATCACTCGGCCCTCAGGCTCTATTTTTCTAAAAAAGCCCTCTTCTCACTTTTTCTCTCAACGCACATCTCTCTGTTCTTCAATCTCTCATTTTTTTTTATCCCTCCCCTGAGTGGATGATGGATAAACAAGAGGTTGTGGGTTTATGCCTAACATTGTTAGCTCACAGCTACTTCTTCCGGCGACGTCTAGTTGATGCTCCGGATGAGGGAATGGAGTATCTTGATCCATTCCGACTCGTGCTTCGCACTTGGCTTGATAACTCGTTGCTCGGAGGGTGAGAGAGCTTTCAGCCCTTTACAGACAGCTCCAGTTGTGCCCTTTCTGGCAAGTATGCTGGCGATGGGGGAAAGATAGGAAACCCAACTCAACTGTGCCCCTTAGTTCATTATTTTGACCATTTTTTGTTTTGGTTTTCTACTAAAACAATTTTGACCAAAATGAGAGTTAAATTAACATACTTGTTCGATTTTTGATTTGAAAATCATGCAAGTCAGGCTATGAGCACTGAAAATTTTCCTTTTTGGGTCCAAGAAATGGTCTAATTTTGGAAAAGATGGAATAATTTTTGAGAAAATAGTCAACCTCAGTAAAAATTCTCAAAAACCGTTTTGGCAAACAGCTAGTGCTCAACGAGCATGAAACTTACTCTCGAGATGCACAACCTCGGATCCGAAGGGAGATTGCCCCTTGCCTGAAGAGAGCTGCATGGCAATGGAAAGTTGCCCCTTGTTTGAATGGTGACTCATGGCAACGGAAAGTTGCCCATTGTCTCGATAACGCCGCAGCATACTGTAAACAGTCCTCGTTAATGATGATCGCAAACGAACTCTCGGATAAAGAGAAGACGAAGATGGTCAAAACCAATATATTGACACAGTCACTTAAAAGTGTTGGTGGCTGGACTTCAGGATGAAGTTGCCTACGTATCCCAAACATGGGAATCAAGTCTTACGTAGTTCCGGGTGTCAGGTTCACTCGGGTATTAATCCTCACCTTCTACGCTCTAACTTTTGCCAAGGTCGTCCTTCCGGGTTTTTAACCTTGCGAGCTTTGTTCTTCTTTTCTTTTCAATTCTTTTTTTTTATATTCTTTTCTTTTCTTTTTCTCTGTTTTATATTCGTTTCTTTTCTTTTTCTCTTTTTTGTATTCTTTTCTTTTCTTTTTCTCTTTTTTTTTTTTTTGTATTCTTTTCTTTTCTTTTTCTGCTCTAACTTTTGCCGGGGTCGCCCTTCCGAGTTTTCGGCCCAGCGAGCCTCTCAAAGGGTAAAAGTGTAACAACTATCATAACCTTCTTTGCTCTAACTTTTGTCTGGGTCGCCCTTCCGGGTTTTCGGCCCAGCGAGCCTCTCAAGGGTAAAAGTGTAGCTTTGTCCATGCCAAATGGTTTTAGGATTTTGAAGCCATCTGAATCCAGGAGAACGGTCGTTGTATTGATTTGCGGAAGGATCCATCTTCGGCTCTTCGAGCACATTGGACATTATTGCCCCTAGTTCGAGAGGTGCTTCTGATTTAGCTTCATAAGCTTGTCTTGACGACATCTGATCTTCTTGATCGGACTTTGGTGCCTCTTGTTCAAGGGCTGCTTCGAATCTGGCCCCACGGGCCTCACGTTGCGGTTTGGCCATTGAACATTCTGAATGCACGTTCAAGGTTTGAAAGCAAAGGGGTTGAATCTTGAGGCTGAGAGCGATCCTAGGCTGCACAATCTCAAGAGCGATTCCATACCGGTCTTCACAAGACTGGGCAAAACATCTTTTGCAAATTTTTAAGAAAGCGACTAATCGCTCACGCTGAAGACAGTGTGGAACCAATCTGGATCAAACCAGGGTCCTTCTCAGTACTCACACTAACAAGCATGATTTCGTTCATTAAGGGCTTAGCATGCCTTTCTTTCTCTCAAACGATCAAATTTTTGCAAAATCCGAGGAATTCCTTCCTCTTTGTTTTCACCACGGTGTTAAAAAAAAGTTTTGAAAAACTTAGGTCATTACAATGACTTCAAGGTGCAGAAGAGCAGGTGAGATGTACTGCTATTTCAATCTAAACTTGCTGGCACAACAGGCTTAAAGTAGCAATAAGCACAAAAAAAACATGACAGCCACCGCTGTTTCATTCGGATTTCCTGGTTGCAACTGGCTTCACAGCAGAGACAGACTCAAAACAAAGCAAAAGGGATAATTAAAAAACAAAAAATGCTGTTCGAGGCAACAACCCCAGAATCACCTGACATTCTATACAATGGGACTAACTCGATACAACCAGACAGATCCTTAAGCAAAAAAAAAAAAAAAATACTGACTCAAGACAATGAGACAAACTCAAAGCAAAACCAAAGAACTAACTCACTACCCAAGCCAAAAATTACAAAAATTAGCATTCGCAAATGCTCAAAACAGTGCGTGCCATACGCCGCATCTGAAGCAAACTGAGTGCCGCCCGCAGGTAGTCCAATCCCTGATCACATACTCGCGCTATCCTCGAAATCCAACAACCTGGTGGTGACAAACTTTGCCGAGCTTGGCGGGAGGATGACTTCATTGTCAATCAAATCTTGCACTTCGCAACGGAGACGAAAACAGTTGTCGGTGCTGTGACCGGTCTGCTGACGATACGCGCAGTATCGAGTAGCATCATGGCCTGCTGGAAGATGACTAGGGAGAGGCCGAGGCTCAAGAGGTTTGAGATGACCCTTTTCCGCCAGGATTTGAAGTGCCTTAGACAAAGGCATGTAGAGGGCGTGAAAGACTTTGCGCCCTCAGGGGCAGATACTTTGAAGTCTGTGGACCTTTGCTGGATGTACTCGAAAAAGGATCGGCAGGTGCTGCCTTGGCTTTCTGATCTTTTCCCAATGCAGGGCTGGGATTGGAGGGAACTGTTCTGGCATGACAGGGTTTATCCCGATTTTTTGCCTGGCTTGAACTGCCCTCGGTTGGAGTGGGGAAAGCATCATCCACAGTCTTAGTCATAACTGCGAATACTTGCTGTTTACTGAACCCCTCGGCTTTCAAAGCCTCGATTGCCCACAGCAGTTGCTCAATGGGATTAGTGTCTGCCTTCATCTTATTCTTGCCTCTAGCCTCAACTTGATCAAGGGTTTGGGTTGCTATATCAGAGCGAAACCCGGTTGTTGTTGACACGTCATTGCTATAGCTTGAAACAACCTCAGGTTGGCTGAGCTCGATCACAATTCGCCCCAGTAGCGGGGACTCCTGCGGCATGAAGTTCCCGGTGTATGACGTGACTGGTGGTGGAGCCGACATCCCATAGGCCAGATCGGCCATAGATCTCTGGAGGTCGCCGATCATTCCCATTAACTCAAACGTGGTGGGTTCACGAGCTTGAAACATTTGGGGTTCCCAGATCGGGCACGCAATAGGCGACCTGGGCGGATGTGGTATTTCGACATTGGTCTCATCCCGCAAGATGGTTCCTCGGTCCAACGTAGCTGCCATAACCACAATCCCCTCTGCATTTTGTGTCATCATAGGTCCGCTGAACTTGAACGGTGAGTGACGCAACTGGTTGAATGACGAATCAGATATCTGTCTTACCTCAACAAGGGAGAACACTGGCTATTCTATACTAAATCTCTGAACTGAAAGAGAAAACACGTAGCATTTCAGCCCTAATCAGAACAGACACAAGCGTAGTTGAATAACCGTACTCTACTACTGATCACTGTTCCCCAAAATCACTACCGTAAAACTAAATCGGATACCCACGGATATAACTAATTCTCAGAATACCGATACTGGTGCCCACAGGCCTGATGCCCATACTTGCAAACGGATATGTGCATTCCCTGTAGAGGACAACTCTAAAAGCACATATAACAAGCAAATGAAAGCCAATACACCACTATATTGGGGTAGGGTTTCCCTGTCCTATTTTGTCAGGAGCTAGGGTTTCACTATGCACGCAGCGGTTTCAAACAACCTAGCGGGTAAGCAACCTATCCTAGCTTGGAATGGTCACTATGGATTCTGAATATGCACTAGGTCGAATGGTCAAAAAGGGTGCCTCGGTAACAACTGGGGTTTGTGTTCCCATCGTGGTAGAGCCCGTAACCAGTCAGCCTTATGGCACGCTTCTCGAAGCGAGCCTCCAGCAAACCGTTCAAGAATAGCAGACGGCAAACACTGTGACTTAGGCGCACCAATGCACATGCAACGCAAAGAAACACGTAAGTGTAATCAAAACAAAATATCATGAGTTCGAGTCAAGCT